CATCACTGTCTGATTGATTTGATGGTACAATTCTCTTTTGTTATCCTCTGACAGCTTTACAGTGCAAACGTGTGGCTGTGAGTTTGTTGTGTTGATGTGGATGTCCTTGGGGCATACAGGCTGGCTCACCGGGCAAAAGGTAAAGATGTGAGGCTGAGACAATACAACAGTATACTCAGCAGTCAGCAGCTGTGTTATGTAATGCTTTCCCCTAGTGAAGTATTTGATCCTCTCTGAGGATCTGTTGTGTTTCAATGACTCAAAGCCCAGAATAGAATGTTAGACTATAAACTTTTCATTTTAAGTTCCAACCAAACACATTCCCCAAGGTTTATGAATGAGTACCAATGCCATCTATTTCCATGAGAACAACCTAAAACCCTTTCAGCTGTTTCTGTCTCAATGGGCATTGGAACAAAAAGATATCCAGTTCCAATTCAGGACTCCAACCACTTAAGTAGTAGGGGCTAAGAGAAAGTGCTGGGGATACAGTGAGGGAAAAAAGTATTTGATCCCCTGCTGATTTTGTATGTTTGCCCACTGACAAAGACATGATCAGTCTATAATTTTAATGGTAGGTTTATTTGAACAGTGAGAGACAGAATAACAACAATAAAATCCAGAAAAACGCATGTCAAAAATGTTATAAATTGATTTGCATTTTAATGAGGGAAATAAGTATTTGACCCCTCTGCAAAACATGACTTAGTACTTGGTGGCAAAACCCTTGTTGGCAATCACAGAGGTCAGACGTTTCTTGTAGTTGGCCACCAGGTTTGCACACATCTCAGGAGGGATTTTGTCCCACTCCTCTTTCCAGATCTTCTCCAAGTCATTAAGGTTTCGAGCCTGACCGTTGGCAACTCAAACCTTCAGCTCCCTCCACAGATTTTATATGGGATTAAGGTCTGGAGACTGGCTAGGCCACTCCAGGACCTTAATGTGCTTCTTCCTGAGCCACTCTTTTGTTGCCTTGGCCATGTGTTTTGGGTCATTGTCATGCTGGAATACCCATCCACGACCCATTTTCAATGCCCTGGCTGAGGGAAGGAGGTTCTCACCCAAGATTTGACGGTACATGGCCCCGTCCATCGTCCCTTTGATGCTGTGAAGTTGTCCTGTCCCCTTAGCAGAAAACCCCCCAAAGCATAATGTTTCCACCTCCATGTTTGACGGTGGGGATGGTGTTCTTGGGGTCATAGGCAGCATTCATCCTCCTCCAAACATGGCGAGTTGAGTTGATGCCAAAGAGCTTGATTTTGGTCTCATCTGACCACAACACTTTCACCCAGTTCTCCTCTGAATCATTCAGATGTTCATTGGCAAACTTCAGATGGGCCTGTATATGTGCTTTCTTGAGCAGGGGGACCTTGCGGGCGCTGCAGGATTTCAGTCCTTCACGGCGTAGTGTGTTACCAATTGTTTTCTTGGTGACTATGGTCGCAGCTGCCTTGAAATCATTGACAAGATCCTCCTGTGTAGTTCTGGGCTGATTCCTCACCGTTCTCATGATCATTGCAACTCCACGAGGTGAGATCTTGCATGGAGCCCCAGGCCGAGGGAGATTGACAGTTATTTTTTGTTTCTTCCATTTGCGAATAATCGCACCAACTGTTGTCACCTTCTCACCAAGCTGCTTGGCGATGGTCTTGTAGCCCATTCCAGCCTTGTGTAGGTCTACAATCTTGTCCCTGACATCTTTGGAGAGCTCTTTGGTCTTGGCCATGGTGGAGAGTTTGGAATCTGATTGATTGATTGCTTCTGTGGACAGGTGTCTTTTACACAGGTAACAAACTGAGATTAGGAGCACTCCCTTTAAGAGTGTGCTCCTAATCTCAGCTCGTTACCTGTATAAAAGACACCTGGGAGCCAGAAATCTTTCTGATTGAGAGGGGGTCAAATACTTATTTCCCTCATTAAAATGCAAATCAATTTATAACATTTTTGACATGCGTTTTTCTGGATTTATTTGTTGTTATTCTGTCTCTCACTGTCTCTCATTATAGACTGATCATTTCTTTGTCAGTGGGCAAACGTACAAAATCAGCAGGGGATCAAATACTTTTTTCCCTCACTGTAGGTGTTGGACTGGGCATGTTACTGGGGAGTAGGAGGAGAGGAGAGAAGGAGAGAAGGAGAGTCCATGGGGTGACAGCTGATGGATGTCCATACAGCTGTTGTGTTGGACCTGGAACTGAAACCCAAACACCTGGACCTGAAACCCCTCCAGAGCTAATGCAGCATTCATTCAAACTATGAAAATTCCGACTTGCTAACCTAGGCGGAAGAGTTGGATCCCGAGTTGGGAAATACCAGAATCAACCAATAGGTTGCTCTACGCAAATATCTTACGTTCATATTAACTCAGACGTCCCGAGTTTCCAACGTGACATGAATGTGGCATAATGCCCTGCCTTTCTGCCATCCTAAACAAGCACAGCTTCAGTCTGCCACATACAAGTCTTCCCGCCAACTCTGAGCCTGCTAGCTAAGTATAAGTAGCCTATTGAACAAGTAGGCTGACAAACATGCATGCTTGCAGTGAGTATGCATCTTCCACTTCATACAGTACATGACTCTGGGTGTTTTTAAGTTGTCCCTTTTTTAGATCCTCACTGTACTGACATTTATTGTACAGAACACTGTGAAGAAAGGAATTCAAGGGAAACCGAAGCCGTTGGTTTTGTCCCCAAATAATTCTCCAGTCAGAGGGCTGGATTCAATCAGCTTGACATCCGCATAGAGTTGTTTTGGTGGTGTCTGAGGTGGAATTGTGTTAGATCTGTCAAATCCACAAGCGGCTTGTTGCATTACCTTTTTGTGGACACTGCCATTGGATGCAACGAAACCACACCTGACTATAATCCGACAAATCCCATACAGCCGTGTTAGAAGTTCATGCAGCCGCGTTACAAGTTCAAACACTGAAATTAGATTGATAGGCATAAATCCCCACATCCAAATTAACATGAAAACATGCATTAGCCTAACATCAATGGTTTGACATTTGAGAGTAATTATTTCGAAGATCGATAGAGCCTTCACTTTCTAGCACCGTTTTGAACTTCTAACGCATTAGGGATAATAAAGAATGGAGTGGTTTGTGACACTAGAAGAGCAGCCATTCACCGATATGTCAGCTCATACTGCAGTTACACCTCCAACACCACCAAAACATTTTCTATGTGGATATTGGCCAATGCCGGTTAACACTCACTCTGATTGTATCCAGGCCAGAGTCTCATTCACAAGAACAACAATCAGGGGAAAGTATCTGTATTCATCAAATCAACCATACTCATAGCAATTACATTATACATACGCTGTAGTACCATGTTAAAATAAGATGAACTACTGCCCTCCTGTGGACTACTTTAGACAGGATAAGTACAGTATATAGTACAATACCACTCTCTCTACATGCTGTGCTATACAGTCTCCCAGTATACAGGATTATCTCTGTTGAGTCTATCATGTGCAGTGTGTCTATCACATACACACTGTAGGCTTCATGTGATCCTGTAGCTTTAACATGTGTCCTTGAGGGCATGTGGTCTTCTGTAGCTCAGCTGGTAGAGCACGGTGCGTGTAACGCCAGGGTAGTGGGTTCGATCCCCGGGACCACCCATACACAAAAATGTATGCACGCATGACTGTAAGTCGCTTTGGATAAAAGCGTCTGTTAAACGGCATATTACATATATTATATTATGTCTACACTTACATGCGACTTCTGCTATCAAAATATGAGGATCGCATCAAAAAGACAGGTGGTCTGATTGTGTTCAGAGCTAGCTACCTTTTCATTATAACATTGGAGGAAATATGTTTCTAGCGTGTGAGGAACGTGTTTGCTGGCTTCATAAATGCAAGCCAGAACACATGTGGACACGGTGGACACATTTAAGTGTAGGTGTATACGAATGCTATCTTTTAAAAAGCATGTTGACGAGTTAGCCAAGAAATTAAGAATTAAGTTGGGCTTCTTCTAGAGGAATAGGGCTTGCCTTTCATTAAATAGTAGAAAACAGATAATTCAGTCTACATTTATTCCTGTTATAGATTATGGCGATATTATATACATGAATGCAGCTACCAGTGTTTTGAAGCCCTTGGACACAATTGATCATAGCACACTTCATTTATAACATCTGACAGGTTTGACACTCACCACTGCATCCTTTATCATAAAGTTGGTTGGACCTCGCTAAAAACACGTAGGTCACTTCATTATTCTGTTTTTGTTTATAAAGCTTTACTCAATAAACTACCAATTTACTTAATGTCATTGTTGAAATATAGAAACTAGGATTACAACACTAGGTCACAGGGTTGGTTAATTTGGAGACTTCACGTGTTACAGGAGGGGTTCACAGATTCCGGAGCGGCCCACTAAGTGTCATCCTCCGACAACCTTAGGCACACAGTCGGGACTAATCATCTTCCTATTGGTGTCACCTGTGTCTATCTGATTCACCTGCGTATTTATGCCCTCACTTCCCTGTGTTCCCTTGCTAAGTTTTCTCTGCTAGTTTCTGGATGCTCAGCAGTACTACGACTGTCTAAGAAGGAAGCTAGCGGTCGTTTAAATAAATTAAAATAGTTAAAAATTGTTTGCAACTAATATAGAGAATAGTCGGAGCAATGGTGCGGGCGCAATTCTCCTCGCGGAGATGGCGAAAAATGCGAATTTTAGGGCGATTCCCAGGATTGGGATCACGAATGCGGTTAGGTTTGCGTGGAAGGAGAAGGACATGGAGCCTTTTGGAAGGGAAACATTTGGGAGGACTTTGTTGATGGGAGTGTTAAAGCTGGCGGTAAAGGACGTGATGTGCCTCCAGGCGAACTCCTTGGAAGGGGCTTATGATGTGGTTTTTCACACGGAGGGGAAGCATGACAAGGTCATGAAAAAGGCGAGGGAGGTGGAGAAGGCCAGGCCGATATGACACTACGAGGTGACAAGCTTGGCCAAGAACAACTTCAGGGTAATAACAGTAAACATGTATAACCCGCATGTTAAGGATGAGGAGGTGAGGGCTTTTATGGGGAGGTAAATGGACAATGTCTCCTCGGCAAGGCTCCTCAAAGACTCGCTAGGGTTCTGGAACGGGAGGAGAAGCTTCCAGGCTCTGTTGAGGAAAGACCCAAAGGGCCTGGGAGGTTACCTTCATCTTACAGCTCTGTTCTCCCTTGGGGCTGACAGGGGGACATTGTTTTATGCCCGTCAGCCCCCTTTCTGCAGACGATGCATGGCCTATGGCCATAATTTCGCCTCATGTGGGGCGAAGAAATGCAGGGTGTGTGGGTCTGAGGCACATGAGGTGCGGGACTGTGACGAGTCGAAGAAGTGCCACAGGTGTGGATCGTCAGCACACCTGTGGAGGGAGTGTACGGCTCGTCACAAGTCGTATGCAGCTGCAGCTGGTGGGGGAGCAGGGGATGGAGGAGGAAGAGGAGGAGGAGTTCCAGACCCAAGCGCAGGGCCAGAGGCAATACCATCGACGACGGAGGAGGAGCCGAAAACAGCAGTGGGAGGAGAGGGGGACGGGCAGGGGACTGCCGTAGCAGTTCTGGAAGGAGAGGTGGTGCCGGAGACGGAGGCGGCGGAGGGAGAGGAGGTCGGGGAGGAGCCAGCCACAGCCCTGGGAGGAGAGGAGAAGGGGGGAGAGGGGGGGCCGGAGTAGGGGGAAAGCGAGATGTCGAGTGCCCAGGGGGATGAGGTGAGGGAGATGATGGAGGAGCTGGTGATCAAGGGGGGCTGGGTCTCCCCACTGCCGGCGTCTCCAAAGAAGAGAGGGAAGAGGAGGGGGAGATCCTCGGACAGGCAGGGGTGCCCGCACTCTGCACTCCTCTTCGTTCTGTACATGGAGCCTCTGGGGACACAGGGGTGGAGGGCTTGCTTATCCCTGGGAGCGGTGGGCTGCACATAAAAAATTACTTAGTACGCCGACGACACTTCTGACTAGGTCCCTTGCCATCATTGGGGAATTCACCCGAGCGTCGGGAGCGGTTCTCAATCACGCTAAGTCTTCCGTTAAGTTTTTCGGAAGATGGCGTGGGAGGACTGATGTGCCTGGGGGGTTATCTCTATGTGTCGGGGCCCTGAAGATTCTCGGGGTCTTGTTTGAGACCTCCGGCTCAGCGACGCTGAACTGGAACAGGAGCATCGCAGTGGTACAGAGGAAGCTGGGGATGTGGAGGGCTAGGTCATTGTCCTTTATAGGCAAGGTCCTGGTCCTCAAGGTGGATGTGTTGCCGTCTCTTTTGTATATGGCGTACGTCTACCCATTGCCAGCTAGTCTGAAGAGGCCTCTAGTGAGGCTAGTGTTTCAGTTCATGTGGGGTGGCAGGCTTGAGCGTGTTGCGAGGGTTCGCATGCTCTGTCCCATCAGGGAGGGAGGTAGGGGGTACCACATTTTCCCCTCAAGCTGGACTCGATTTGTTTCTTATTTGTTGACTGAGCTGGCTCATCCGGTAATACACCCGTCTGGTTACTTCCTGCGGGTGTTCTTCTCTTACCAGGCGAGAAGCATAATGGTGTGGACTAACACGGGTCCTCGGGCGGAACAGCTGCCGTGGCACTTTGGCTATGCGGCCAAGTGGATGTGTGGTCACCCCGAGGTTGAAGTTGCCCGAGTAGGTTTAGATCACAGGCACCTGTACGAGGAGGTGAGACGGGGAGGGTGTCCCGGGCCAGTATTGGGTATCCCGGCTGTGGTTTGGGAAGGAGTGCAGGTGCGAGGTCTGGATAACAGGCTCAAGGACCTGAATTGGTTGAGCCTCCATAAGGGCTTGCCCGTACGATCCATCTTGTACGGGCATGGCATGACTCGATCCCCCACCTGCCGAAGGCCAACTTGTGGCGGGGAGGAGACATTGCGCCATGTTTTTTGGGGCTGTGCTTTTGCCGGGTGGTATGGGCTAGGGCACAGGTGTTGATAGGCAGGGTGAGGGGGGATTTTGTTGTGACGTGGGCTAGGGTAGAGAGAGGTGTAGGGAAAGCGAGGGGGACGGTTAGGGACAGGTTTCTGCTCTGGCTTCTCATAAGCCTCTTTAAACGGGGGTTGTGGGAAGCTAGGCAGAAAATGGAAAGGACAGGGAGAGAAGGGGGTGTGGAGGGGATAGTGAGGAGGGTGGAGCAGAATTTGAGGGGGAGAATGAAGAGAGAGGAGAGGAAGTGGGGGCAGCATGCTGCTCGGGAGAGGTGGAGGGGGGTTTAGGGTTAGGGTTAGTGTAGAGGGGTAGGGATTTAGGATTTGTGTGTGTGTTTTTAGCTGGGTATAATGGGGGAGGGAAGGTGCTCCCCTGGGGTGTAATTTCTGTTATTGTTCGGTTTTGTGGGTGTTTGATATATATTGTGGTGGGTAGTTTTGTATTGTTATTTTTAGTGAAGTTGGGTTTGGGAATTAATGGTGTGTGTAATGTGTATGATGATGTATGGTGTGGATTTTTGAATACAAACGTTTAATCACTAATCAGTGTCTGATCGCGGGACTTATGGACAGGTACGTGAGAAGTGTTCTCCCTGTTTATTTATTATTTCAGTCATAGTCCGTTTTTTGTATTTTTGGCTGTCTTATTTGCTCTGCCTTTCTTTTTCGTGTGAAGTCCATTGTTTTGTATCCTGGCTTCGGGACCATCAGTAAAGTTCTTTGTTTCACCATCTCTGCCTACTGCCTACTGTCTAACCTGCACTGCACCTGGGTCACACCTCACACCAACCCGTACACCACAGAGTTGGGTAAATCGGCCTTTTCCTACCAGGCCCCTATCATGTGGAATAATCTATAATAATATTCCATTTAGCAGACGCTTTTACTACCCTGGCATTACAAGCGCCATTCTCTACCAATTGAGCTACAGAGGACCACGTAACGTTTCATTTGGATGTGTTGTTGTCTCTGGGTAAGTTTAGGGGAAAGGGATTTTTATATTTATAAATGTGTTTGATTGTTTATTGTGTATATAATATTTGTTATTTATAGATTTTTTGGTTTTGTTTTAAATTGTGTATACTTTTCTTTTCTGTATTGTTCCAAGGGCACATTTGCAAATGAGACCTAGGTCTCAATGTGTTTTTCCTTGGTTAAATTACAATTAAATAATGTCTTCGGAATTCCATGATCAGAACTCCATGATCAGAATACAAAAACTGCATTAACTGTCAAGTCTAGACATGGCCTCACTCCCAATAAGCTCATTGTCAGTCGGTCTCTTCGTTCTTCAGTCATTAGTGTGTCCAGTCCCATCTTCATCTGGCTGTAGGCTACTGGTTTAACAGATTATTGGTTGAGAGGGGATCACTTTTTGGACAGGAATTTCATTTTATTTCCTGGAGGTAAAAAAATACAATTAAACATGCCACCTTTTAAGCACAGGTACATACTTAAACAATATGAGCAGCAGCTTGTCTGCTCACACTCAATTAACACTCAGTTCATACTCTCCAATGTAACGGTCTAATCCTTACCCAGTCCTTTGAGGAACTTGTTAACCCTGCGATGCTCATTATCATGAATTGAGTCCAAATACTCCTGCACCCTCACCTCAAACAGTCCTGTAGAAAAACAAACACACTTTGTGTTATCCAAAGTTGGACAATAAAGCTTTAGAACTTTGACCTTTGACCCGTACCTCTCAGTGCCTGTCTGTGGTGCTCTCTCTCCTGGATGAACAGGCCAAACATCTGTGTCTCCATGAAGACCTCCAGGAACTGCCTCAGACTCTTAGACGAGACAGACTTACGGAAGGACTCACGATGGAAGGAAGAGGGGATGGGGGAGGAGAAAGTGGAGGAGGCGTCAACCTCCCTTTCGGTGATGAAGAGTGGATAGTGGCCGACGAGTTCTACGAAGAAACGCACAAAGGCCTCGGACACAACGGTGCTGAGGTGGCCAGAGTCTGAGAGAGAGAAAGGGTCTGTCAAAACTGATACAGTGCAAAACACTATGGTCTGTTGACCTCAAACTAATGGTCTCAAGGGTCTAAAAAGTTTGACCCCGTTCCGAAACGGACCCGGGGATTTCCTCCCTGGACCCTACCCGAATAAATAAACATTTTAAATATGGAGACCCAGTCCGAACGGCACTGAGGACAACCAGACACAACCCTGTATAGACCCGGGCGGGTCCAGACCTGATCTGAGCTGTCCGAGTGAGGGAACCAGCAGAAAAGCCCATTTTGAGCTACCTTTAAAACTTCAATTAATAGCCCAGGTGTTTATTTGCTTAAATCACTCAACACAACAGGCACTTATTAGAGACCGGCTTCTATATCCTTAATGCACACAGGTTTTGCAAATTTGCATACTTAATATTTTTATTCCAGTATTTTAATCAATTTCTTCATTTACATTTTAGTCATTTAGCAGACAATCTTTTCCAGAGTGACTTACAGTAGTGAGTGCATAAATGTTTGTATTGGTCCCTGTGGGAATCAAAACCACAACCCTGGCGTTGCAAGCACTATGCGCTACCAACTGAGCCACACAGGACTATCAGTTCCTGCACTAATGTGTTATCATTTACACACTGTCACGTTTCTTTTGTCTTAGTATGCCTCTATTTTGAGAAGGGAAAAAAAACGTTTCCTTGACAGAATAATTATTCTCCTCCCGAGTGGCGCAGTGGTGTAAGGCACTGCATCGCAGTGCTAGCTGTGCCACTAGAGATCCTGGTTTGAATCCAGGCTCTGTCGTAGCTGGCCGTGACCAGGAGACCCAAGGGGCGGTGCACAATTGGCCCAGGGTAGGGGAGGGAATTGCCAGCAGGGATGTAGCTCAGTTGGTAGAGCATGGCGTTTGCAACACCAAGGTTGTGGGTTCGAATCCCACGGGTCAAAATAAAAAAATGATGTATGCACTCGCTAACTGTAAGTCGCTCTGGATAAGAGCGTCTGCTAAATGACGTAAATGTAAACTGTGCATTTCAACAGTTTTTACTTTCGCCACTAGAGGGCGAATTGCCGGCGTTTATTTGAAACAGGCATTTATTTTCTGAAATGTGTGCCGTTGCCCGGATATTAAAAGGGACAGTCGGCTATTTGAGACTCTGCATTTAATTGAAGTTTTAAGGTAGGCTATTAACTTAAGCTGTTAATGCACGAGCCGAGAGCCGAGGGAGAGAGGAATTCTAGCAGCAGGCGGGGGAGAGAGAGACAGCAGCAACTAAGCTGACTCGCACTTGTTACTAAGTTCTAGCTGCCAAAGCTAGGTTATTTATCATCAATCTGATTACATAGTACAGTACCTGTTTTGACTGCATCAAACCCAGAAGAAAAGCTACTTAAGCTAGCTAGCTACCTAGCTAGCTAGCAGGGTAGGCTAACTGAGGCTACTGTAGTATCTGAGGAATTATGACTTTGCTAACGTTTTACATTTACATTTACGTCATTTAGCAGACGCTCTTATCCAGAGCGACTTACAATGGAACTTGAGAGGAGGTTTATTCAGCTTAGAGGGAGCATCTGGGGAGCAGTTTTAGGGGGACACCCCATAGAACAGAGGAAGTCTGTTGTGTGGAGACAGGTGATTGGTCTGTAGGGGAACACCCATATCAGATTACATAGGATATATACCACAGTTAGGACAAAGGAAGACAGAATAATCATATTTGAGATGGAGCGATTATTCTCCAGGTATCTGCAGGTATCTGTAAATCGACGCTGTAACCCTTTGTTATGAATAAACCTTTATGATGAAAATACAGCGTCAGCGGTTCTCCTTGGTCGCACAGCATAATTAGCAACGTTTACTCGACACAACAAAATGGCAACGAGGAATTTGGACGAATTGCGTTTTTCTCAGCGTTCCATTCATGAGCGCCCAGCTGACTTTCGCTCCAGAGTCTGGCAGATAAGGGTGAGTTTTGTCACCACTTTGGGCTCTGGTTAGTTCGTGTGTCTGTGTGTGTGCGTTGAAGGAATGCACCGTTGAGAACTTGCGTGTGTGCGTTGTTGGTTATATGCTGTGGGATAGGAGTCCGTTCTAAATTTGTTTGCGCTGGTAAACAACGCAAAAAGGGGGGAGTGTCTATAGGGATATTTTGCTTGAATAAAGTTCAAGAAGAATAGATTGAAAGGAATAAGGCCAAGGTAAATGTGTACAACTTAGAACCATTGCTAATCTATGGAAAACCCTCGTAATGAGGCGATCATTATGATAGGCCAAAAATCCTAAAAACACATTAGGTGTAGTTAGGTGAGTCCAGGGGACTTGAGGCTGTGGCATATATATTCGGTTGTAAGTTACCTCTCAGCATGTGGTTGACGAATCATATGATTGATGTGACCGCTCATTGGATGTCCGCGGACCTCGTGGCAGCCTAAATTTAGGAACAAAGGAATTTTACGGCGCAACGGAGGTAACATGCTACATGCTACATGATACATGATACATGCTACATGATACATGCTACATGCTACATCCATAGGAATGGATTAAGCCTCTTAAATTGTATATAGAATAGTGTAGGATTTGTGTCCTATGGTTTGTGAGCTCTGTTAAGTGTTATTGTTTGTCTATGAGGGGTAAAAGAGAGGAAGTACAGCGGGACTGTCTACTTTCTATTGTCTAGCTTGGAGAGAGCTGGGAGAGAGCTCTGTTCACGCTGAAATCGTATTGGTGAATGGACTACGCATGCGCGTGATTTTATGACTCTAGAATTACGTAAGGGCAAATGTGCCACTCCTCTGCCTACACTGAGCTGCGGGGAGACAAAGAGAGAGATTTAGAGACTAATAGTGTATTCTGGTTGTTAAATAGGCTGTTGTTTGAAGATTAAACTGTTTTCTTGAGACCTATCGAATTGATAAACTAGAAATATGTTGACGGATTAAAAATAAAATAAATAAAAATAATTAATTAAATAAATAAAATAAAATGTTATTGAGCTATTTCTACTATTCCTGAGTTAATTCCTAGAGCGAATGTGACTGGAGGAATATTGAATGGTTGAAATAACTCAGTAGTGCATGAACTACTAAATTATTGTCTGTTCTTTGTTATTCTGTCATATGAGAGACGATAAGAGGAAGGAGGAGAGAGAGAGAGAGCGGAAGTGCTGACGTGTACATCACGCGACAGGGTGTGACGCGACAGAGTTTGCTGCGACAGGATCCAGTAACTAAGGCCAGTACTGTTATATTTACAAAACCTACCTTCCTATACAGGATATTTTGTGTGCCTATCATAATTGATGTTATGACAATTTGACAGGGACTTGGCAACAGACTGATCAATTGATGTAATTGCATATTGGAGTTATTGTGCATGAGTGGGTTTGATTAGAGTTGAGTGGGGGAATCGAGTACTGACATTCTGTAAAATTAAGGTCATTGGGTGCTTATTAAGCAATGGGGTTTGTGAGTACTGTAGTGTTGTAGGATTAGAAGTCTTTATTTTTTTGGATTGCTCTGAAGTTGACTACTTTCATTTAATTTCCTGATTGGATGTGGTAAGATTGCCACTAATCAATAATTTGGTAAAATAAAATAAAATAAAATGAAAAAATAAATAAATTGATGAATAAATTAATTGACTAATTAATTAAGGAGAAAAAAATAGGGAGGAAACCATAGGCTATATAGTCTAAAATAATAAAAATAATTCACAATAAAGGAATATAAAAAAAAATAGTTGTTACAATGGGGAAAAAGGACATCAGAACTATGAAAGTAATTACACCTGTTGATATAGTTGAAAATAGTAAACCTTGCAATACCATTAACTAAAGGTTATCTGGAAAAGGGAATAAACGTTGGCCTGACTTTGAACAACCATAGCTAGTGGAAGGGAATCTCAACCCTGACGTCATCAACATGATGAAAGTGATTGAATAATAGAGAGAGGAAAAGCAGAAATGACCATAAAGATGAATCCAAAACTCCAAAAGTAGGAAGAAAATGAGATGTCTGGAAACTAAGAGTGGAATGAGGTTCAGGAAGATGGAACTTGAAGATGAAGAAGATGATGATGATGATCAGAGTGATTGAGAAGAGATCATGGGTGGATATGACTCTGTGATCAGACGGAGGTTGGCCATAGCGGAAAGAAGGGGTGATGGATGTTTGAAGAAGAAGAATACAAGAGATTCGAGTTCTGATGAAAGTAAAGATGGAGACAGCGATGAAGATTTGGAGATTAAAGGGGCTTCATATTCAAGAGGATTTTATTCTACAATGATTAGCAAAGAAGAAATAGAAAGAGATATAGACTGATGTGTATTATGCCTGGATAAGGGGAATAATTTAGAAGAGACAAAGAGAACTGGAAGAACAACTCAAGAAGATACAGAAGAGGAGAAAAAACTGCTGAGAAAAGGATCCCAAGAATTGGAGAAGAATACATTGAGGAAAGGAAAGAGAGCACAAGTAAGAAGAAGATGGAAGATGATATTTCGAGGACAGAGCCTAGAATATAAGCCTTTGAAGAATACCGATATGTCAACAACTAGAAAGAACAGGACCAAGAAACTCTCAGAAAACTTGATGAATTACAACTCGGGGAGAAGAAGAAGGAGAAGAAAAGCTTTGGTTATGAAGAATCAGTGTGCACCAAATCAACAATCACTACCACAGCTTCAACTGAACAAGGTCAAATGCAATTGTACCAGCAACAACTAGTGGTACAAGTTGTTTCATATCCATAGATAGTTTCTGGAAAGAAAGAATTTCAGAGGAAGATACAGGAGCAAGTGAAGATCATCTGGAGGACAGGTGAACCCTTATAGGGACACGGAGCAAGGATTCTAGGGGTGCCTAGAAGATCCGAAAGGGGGGTGTCAGCTGGTAGCATCAGGACCGGAAAAAGATCCAACAATTGAAGTGAAAATAAACAAAGGACTATGGGAAGTGATAGCGGATAGTGGAACAGCTTTTATCTGTGTTCAGCCTGAAGAGGTTACACATCTCACTATATAAAATTGACTAATTAGGATAGGGATTTGAGGGAGTAAAACAGTTGATTACTCTTAAGGAACCAATTGAGCTCTGCTATGAAAATGAAGAAAATTACAATACCCATACTGGTATCAGAACATATACCTATTGCATTGTTGGGAAGAGATGCATTGTGTAAGTTGAACTGTACAATAAGATGTACACCAGACGGCTGTCTGGTAGAAGTGCCAAAGGAAAAGGTTTACCAATGGTTGATGATGACAGAGATGGATTTGTCTTGAGTATTCTGGAGTGGAAATCTCAGTGAAGATTCTTTAAAGAAGGCTAAGGTTAGGGAAAGATTACAAAGGAGTATGGTTTTTGGGAATCATATTTGCTTGAAAAGATTGATTATATATCATAGGAAGGAGCACAATCTGTCTGAAAAATAATGTTTACAGGGGGTGACTGTTATTCTTGGTTACATTCCTACACCAAGAGGTGAATAAGATGTCAAACTAGGCTAAAAGATGCTCAATCGTTTGCCAAGTCTGTGTGTAAAGAAGTTATAAGCAGGTGGGGATTACCCGATCACATGTTCTAAAATTAGTGGGAAAGGAATTTGTGGATAAATCAGTGAAATGGTTTTTGAAAAAGTTAGGAGAAAAGTCAGATTAAAAAAGTTAAGAAAACTAGGGTTGAAGGAACTCTAGGACAGTCAGCTAAGCTTCAATGTTAGTAGTAAGAGAGAGAGAACAGTGGTGAAGGGAAATTTAGAGTTCAGTGGGAAGATAGATATGGTAGGAGTTTAGATCTGTTAGGAGCAGTTGCATTGAGAAAGTATGCGTTGCTGAATGATAAGAGAAGAATGAAGATTGAGGGTGATTGTAGTATCTATATTTACAATTCCCAGCAGGAAGATCAAGGTGATTATGAATGTATTTTTTATGATCAAAAGGTTGAAAGTGAGGGATTAGAGTTAGGACTGAGAGTTAATGTAGTGACACTAGTGGTGATAGATGGAAATACAAGTAAAGAGTTCAAAGCTTTAGGGAGAATAGATGAATCAACAACAATTACATCAACACTTCAGCATATTATAACAACAGTGAGAAGCAATTTAACTATTTCAACATGGACAGTTATTAAAGCTATAAATATATCACATTTGATTACAAGGGAGCCAATCGCTCCAAAACCAATTTTAGAGGAAAAGACTGTCATTAGGGTTAGGATGGGTGATACAGCTCATCTTCCTTGTAGATGTGAGAGAAGGAATGTGTAGAGGTGAGGTTCCTCTCATGTGGAGAGATAATTATGGAGAAGAAGCGTTGTTATGAAGACCAGAAGTAGAAGCTGTTTCACCTAGTGAAAGGAAGTATGTTTTGTACAACAATATGAAGTGGAAGATGGTTATGAGTGATTGCTCACTTATTTTGAGTAATGTTACATGGAAAGATCAGGGAGAATATATGTGTACTTATTTAGTGCAAGCATTAAAGTTTGTTCCGGCTAAGAATTATTGGTTAAAAGGTTATGTAACTCGTAAGGTGACGCTCATATGGAAGATTTGAGGTCTGTTGAAGCTACCACAGTCACCAAAGGAATTCAGGAGAAGTATATTACAGTAGCCACTCCAACAGTAAATACTACACAGAGGATATCTGTAACTTTCCCACTGGAAATAGTTAAGAGTGTTAATACATCAACTACAGCAACTATTTTAATAGTAACTTTGAAAGAGATTAATGGTACGACGGCAATAACAAATGTAGGAAGTATGACACAGACACCAACAACAACTTTTCTGAAACTAAAGGATGTAGCAAGAGTGACTCGGGAGTTTATGATACGGATGGAGAGTGCTGTCAATGGTAGTAAGGATAGTGTTGAGATAGGAGAGCAGATGGTAGTAGAGAATGATGCAGATTCATCTGAAATAGTGCAGGATACTATCATGGAGGTACAGGATGAGTTCTTTGATTTTAATGAAAGACGAGAAGATATATCTGATCAATACAGTTCGTTAGGGAAGAGAGAAACTAAATGGAAGGAATATGGATTTAATTCTTCTGTTTGAAAATTAAAGATGGATGGGCAGGTAGGAATCTTTAGTTCAAGGAGTTACCTCATTCTGTAAGATCAGTGAGGAATCTTGAGGGTAAATGTCTGTTGAGAATTTCAGCATAAGGAAAATGGGGTTGATTCTTAGAAGGTAGCTAAATTTCTATCAAGTATGTGTCAATCTTATGTTTTATAAGGGATGTTGTATTAGCAACAATCATTAACAGAGAAAATAATGTAGTTGTGGAAACATTTGTTTAGGCCTAGGTTTAAGTGTTATTGCTTAAATGAATTACCCTATGTGAATTTGTTAGATAGGAAGGAAAATCAGTTAATAGCGCTTTATGAAGCATTGGAGGTGAAACCAGTGAGGGCTAAAAGCTGTTTTTGTTCTAATAAAACATATGATGGAAAGGGATGTTTAAGGGAATATCAGATGGTGATGATTATATGATGACTTTGGGGTAAGCAGGAACATAAGGTTAGTAATGAGAAATATAATGTAACTTTTGAGGTTTCATTTAGTAAGGAGAGAAGTTTTGAATGATAATGTGACTATTGGGGGATTTTAGATATGTTTAGGGGTTTGTGGTGAGAGAATATATTCTTACCCTATGGATGGATAGGATGTTGTTACATGTTGAAGTTGAAGCTTCCATATGAGGTTTTAAAATTAAAATAGGGGAAGCAAGGGAAAGAGATAAATCTGATTCTGAAAGAGAGAAGTTTCATAGTCTGGGAAGCCTATCATTGGAGGATAAGTCTAAGAGAGAAGTGGGGATTTTTCCATGGTATGGTGAAAAATTTGGGAAGATAACATAGATAATATTACCTATAATTTGAAGGGTTTTGCAAATGAAACGATAAGAGGGTTTAACCTTCTGTCAAGACTCAAAGGAGTATTGATAGATAGATATCAATTTTGTATTTTTCAAAGGGGTTTTAAATATTATGGTGATTTTAGTATTTTGTTATGAATCAAAGGGGGGAAATAGAATGTGATTCATTTTATATATCATTTTTATATTCTTAGTTGATATTGATGGTGGTCCTCTGTAGCTCAGCTGGTAGAGCACGGCGCTTGTAACGCCAAGGTAGTGGGTTCGATCCCCGGGACCACCCATACGTAAAAATGTATGCACGCATGACTGTAAGTCGCTTTGGATAAAAGCGTCTGCTAAATGGCATATTATTATATTATTATGTTTTAATTTGAATGTGTTGTTTTGCAAAAGATACTGTTTGGTCTTTTCTTTTCTTCCAGAAGCATATGGGGGAACATGTAGAGGGGATTCAAATGCTCAAACAAGGACAATATGTAAGGACAATATGAAGGGACTGGAGGAAGTGGAAAAAGGAAGGTGTGGAAATTTTCCGATTCTATCATCAACGATGCATTGGAAGTCGACACTGCTGAGGAGATGAAGTGTAGTGGACTACATTCCAGTGTCTGCAATGATATATAGACATATTTGCATGTGTAATACATAAATTGTGTCATATTCTTTCTGTATTAATTTTTGTAGAATGATATTTGCTGTTATTGGGTACATGTGGGGATCTCAGATGTTTTTGTTTATTTCGTGGAAGCTTAGGGATATTGGATCTAGGCAGGGATAGAGAGAATCCACAGGAGGGTCCGATGGGTCGACCAGCCTTAGTGTGGACATTTTTATAGTATTTTGTTTGCTGAGGCTTTCATGTGTATTCAAATTGCATCATAGTTTCAAATGCATTGATAAAGATTTATGAATTGATCTGGAGTACTTAAGTGGTTGCCTGGGGCAGAGGGGCCGTGAGAGAATTTTACTGTCTTGATTGATGGAGGGATATTTGGAAAGAAAGCTGCCAGACAGGTTTTTCGCTCTCACACTCCATAAAGATGTGTTCATATTTCATAGAAATGTATTCACACTCCATAAAGATTTGTTCATATTTCATAGAAATGTATTCACACTCCATAAAGATTTGTTCATATTTCATAGAAATGTATTTACACTCCATAGAAAAATGTGTTTTTGGTTTATTGTTAAAGTTACTCAATAAGAGAGAAATTGTTATTTGTCATAATCCTATTCTTTTTGTTTTCGAGACTTAATTTGTCTCGAAGGGGGGAATATGTAGTATCTGAGGAATTATGACTTTGCTAACGTTTTCAAATGGAACCTGAGAGGAGGTTTATTCAGCTTAGAGGGAGCATCTGGGGAGCAGTTTTAGGGGGACACCCCATAGAACAGAGGAAGTCTGTTGTGTGGAGACAGGTGATTGGTCTGTAGGGGAACACCCATATCAGATTACATAGGATATATACCACAGTTAGGACAAAGGAAGACAGAATAATCATATTTGAGATGGGGCGATTATTCTCCAGGTATCTGCAGGTATCTGTAAATCGACGCTGTAACCCTTTGTTATGAATAAACCTTTATGATGAAAATACAGCGTCAGCGGTTCTCCTTGGTCGCACAGCATAATTAGCAACGTTTACTCGACACAACACTACATAGGCTGCTCTTTCCCCGGCCTACACAATTACAACAACTCCTCCATTCAGAGTATTAAGTACCAGCCTACCTGTTGGCTCTTGGTCGTTGTAGCCTATCCTTCTCATTTAACTTTAATTCTGTCATTTTAATTCCATCTTCCATTGATCTCCTAACTTGTTTGCCACGGCACACACAGAGCCAGATGCTAGTGCCACTTTATGCTGCTGCTCAGGCTTTTCACAAGAATGGCGTGTGTAGCTTGTTGTTGTCGGCCAATCACAAGTAATCAAAGGAGACTATTTTCTCTCTAATATATAATTGTACCATTGGGACCGTGTCCTCCTCGCTCTGACGCCAGTTCTCTCCTCCTCTCCAGGACTGTCTCTAGGGCTGACTGGAGTTTAGAAGGCAGGATAGAGTCCTCATCATCCAGCTGACATGGACATTCAAAAGAAAAACAATATACATGATTAGCTAAATATCACAGACTTCGATGAAGTGAACATAATGAAGCTGCATTTGAGTCCAGGACTAGGCTAAATCAGTGAATCAGTGAAGTAACAGTACCTGTCTGAGGAAGCGACTGTTTCCAAGGTCAACCACCAGCACCTGTGGAGTAGGGAAAGCAGATAGGGTGTGTGAGTCCTGGCCATCAAAATTCCTTGTGGATTACAGCAACCCAAAACATATCAACAGTACATATATTCTCCTGTTGAGGTTTGAGCCCCAGACAGGGGTTGTAGTCTCTCACCTCCTCTAGGGGTAGCTCTGTGAGCTGTGGGAGGGAGCTGGACAGTAGCCCTACGATGAAGGGGGTGGGGGTACACACTATGTCCAGCATGGCAGGTGGCAGCACGGGGATGTACGTGTGCTGCCAGGTGAACGGGTAGAGTAGAGCCACCACCGCATGGCAGCACTGAGACAGAGTACTGCAGAGAAGAGAAATGGTAAGTGATTTAAGTTATCTAACAGTTAGTTAGTTGTCCTCCAAGTTGAATCACAACAGGTTTCATGTTATACTCACTGTATTCTTTGCTGCATACTAAGAAAGGTTCATTAAATGGGGGCCGAACATACTGATTTGGCCTAGTTTTTTTTAGCTTACTCATTGAGAAATGCAGCGGCCATGACTGTAGCCAAACGAGAGTTGTCTTGAGGGTGTGGTTTAATGTGGGTGTCTCGTGTGTGTGTGTGTGTGTGTGTGTGTGTGTTCGTACGTGGCAGGCGTTTGCACATTCACTGTGCCAAAACAGTACACAGTTACAGTCTCTCACCCTTCTAGATAATTTTAAACAGTCTAACCTTGTGTCTTGAAGTTGCCTAGGCAACTTCTTTCGCCAATTAGCTTCAGCCTGTTGGTGTGCGACCGTGGCAGAGTTGGTTTGACTTTGGACAGTCTAGCTCGGAGCTAGTTAGGGACCGTCAATAAATTACACAATGTAAATGGTTGCACACCTTTTAGTTGTCTCATTAATAACCTTTTACTGCAGTGGGCTAAATCAGGGTCACACAGAGTGTTTCTTGGTAGTCTTAAACAAATCTACTTTGAAACAATAGTATACACCTCACACACATGGTTATGGGCTTAAAAAAATAAAACACCTGTACCATGTCAGATATAGAGTTGAAATGTATTCCATTTTTGGTTTGCATCCAAATATTACACTTTAAATACATCACAGAAGACTGAACTATAACAAAACTGTTTGACATAGAAACACCAGATTTTCTGAGTTTTATTTTTTAAAATAATGTTTATTAATTATGAAAATATAAAAAAATGTAACATTCCAACCATGAGGCCACTAGGTCATTTGAGTGCGGGAAAGTGCTACATGCTTTCAATATTTTATATGAATTCTTTACATTTATAATTGGTTTGAGGTTTTTAAGTATTTTAAATCTGGAGCTATTGACATTTAAAAATATTGTCCCATGTACATTGTGTAATTTACTGATGGTCTGTATCTAGCCCCATATGGACTATGTCAAACAAAATTGACCATGGGCATTACGTTCGAGTCGCATGCAGCTGCACTCCAAATTGATGATTTACTTGGGTGCTGCGAGCATGTGAGCAGGATTGAAATAAACCCAACCCAAGGAAAACTTTTATGGTACCCTTCATTCCATAACAAAACAAATGTCTCTCCTAATTATCTCGCAAATCTCTGTTTTATCTATTTACACTTTGTAGTCAATTTTGACACTAGAATACATTGTAATGACTCATATTGATGCCACATAGGCCATTTTGTACCAGAGAAGATGTTTATCGCCTTCAGTTGCTTTTTAAAAAGTTTGTATGTGAGTATTTTCACCACTAGTCGGCAGTGTGGTGTCAAATATTTTGTCCTTCGACAAAAACTTCCTCTGTCATTTTCGAATTTCTTCTCAATGCCCATATTTGCCACAGGGGCATTTTCCTTCACTCTAAGACAGGGATCATCAAGCAGATACAGCCGCGGGCCGAATTGTTTACGACCAGAAATACGACTATTACGACCAGAAATACGAACTTATTCCAGATGCTGCCCCAAGACGCTGCCAGTCAAAGAAGAGGTATTCGGAGTGGACTTCTAGTCCGACTCAGGAGGCGTGCACACCATCCACCGCTTCCGAGTATTTTACTCGCTAATGTTCAGTCCTTGGACAATAAAGTAGACGAGCTCAGGGCAAGGATCTCCTTCCTGAGAAACATCAGAGACTGTAACATACTCTGTTTCACGGAATCATGGCTCTCTCCGAATATACGGTCTCCGTCCATACAGTCAGCTGGGTTCTCAGTACATTGCGCAGACAGAAATAAAGAACTCTCCCGGAAGAAGAAAGGCATGGTGTATGTTTTATGATTAACTACTCATGGTGTGATTATGATAACGTACAGAAGCTCAAGTCCTTTTGTTCACCCGACCTAGAATATCTCACAATCAAATGTTGACCGTGTTACCATCCAAGATAATTTTATTCGGTTATAGTCACAGCCGTGTATATCCCCCTCAAGCTGATACCACGACGGCCCTCAAGGAACTACACTGGACTTGAGGGCAAACTGGAAACAACCTGAGGCCACATTTATTGTAGCTGGGGTTTTTAACAAAGCAAATTTGAGGAAAACTCTACCGACGTTCTATCAACACAATGCCTCTAGTACTCGCGCTACAAAAACTCTTGACCATTGTTACTCTCCCTTCCAGGATGGCTACAAGGCCCTCCCCTGCCCTCCCTTCGGAAATTCAGATCACAACTCCATTCTGCTCCTCCCTTCCTATAGGCAGAATCTCAAACAGGAAGTACCCGTGCTAAGGTCTATTCAGCGCTGGTCTGACCAATCAGAATCCATGCTTCAAGATTGTTTTGATCACGCGGACTGGGATATGTTCCGGATTGCCTCTGAGAATAACATTGACGTATACACGGACACAGTGAATGAGTTCCTCAGGAAGTGTATAGGGGATGTTGTTCCCACTGTGACTAATAAACCTTACCCAAATCAAAAACCGTGGATAGATGGCAGTATTCGTGCTAAACTGAAAGCGCGAACCACTGCATTTAACCACGGCAAGGTGACTCGGAATATGGTTGAATACAAGCAGTGTAATTATTCCCTCTGTAAGGCAATCAAACAGATAAAACGTCAGTACAGAGACAGAGTGGAGCCGCAATTCAACGTCTCAGACACGAGACATATGTGGCAGAGTCTACAGACAATCACGGATTACAAAGGGAAAACCAGCCACGTCGCGGACACGGACGTCTTGCTCCCGGACAAGCTAAACACCTTCTTTACCCGCTTTGAGGATAACACAGTGCCACTGATGCGGCCCGCTCCCAAGGACTGCGGGCTCTCGTTCTCCGGGGCCGACGTGAGTAAGACATTTAAATGTGTTAACCCTTGCAAGTCTGCCGGTCCAGACGGTATATCCAGCCGTGTCCTAAGAGCATGTGCAGACCAGCAGGCTGGAGTGATTACGGACATATTCAATGTCTCCCTATCCCAGTCTGCTATCCCCACTTGCTTCAAGATGTCCACCATTGTTTCTGTACCCAAGAAAGCAAAGGTAACTGAACTAAATGACTATCGCCCCGTAGCACTCACTTCTGTCATCATGCTTTAAGAGGCTAGTTATGGATCATATCACCTCCACCTTACCTGACACCCTAGACCCACTTCAATTTGCATACCGCCGCAATAGATCCACAGTTGATGCAATTGCCATTGCACTGCACACTGCCCTATCCCATCTGGACTAGAGGAATACCTATGTAAGAATGCTGGTCATTGACTATAGCTCAGCCTTCAACAGCATAGTACCCTGTACCCTCATCATTAAGCTCGGGGCCCTGGGTCTGAACCCCGCCCTGTGCAACTGGGTCCTGGACTTCCTGACGGGCCGCCCCCAGGTGGTGAAGGTAGGAAACAACACCTCCACTACGCTGATCCTCAACACAGGGGCCCCACAAGGGTGCGTGCTCAGCCCCCCTCCTGTACTCCCTGTTCACCCATGACTGCGTGGCTACTCACGCCTCCAACTCAATTATCAAGTTTGCAGACGACACAACAGTAGTAAGCCTGATTACCAACAATGATGAGACAGCCTACAGGGAGGAGGTGAGGGCCCTGGCGGAGTGGTGCCAGGAAAATATCCTCTCCCTCAACGGCAACAAAACGAAGGAGCTGATCGTGGACTTCAGGAGACAACAGAGAGAGCACGCCCCTATCCACATCGATGGGACCGCAGTGGAGCAGGTGAAAAGCTTCAAGTTCCTCGCCGTACACATCACTGACAATCTGAAATGGTCCACCCACATTGTGGTGAAGAAGGCGCAACAGCGCCTCTTCAACCTCAGGAGGCTGAAAAATGTGGCTTCTCCCCTAAGACCTTCACAAACTTTTACAGATGTACAATTGAGAGCATCCTGTCGGGCTGTATCACCGCCTGGTACGGCAACTGCAACACCCGCAACCGCAGGGCTCTCCGGAGGGTGGTGCGGTCTGCCCAACGCATCACCGGGGGGCACACTGCCTGCCCTCCAGGACACCTACAGCACTCGCTGTCACAAGAAGGCCAAAAAGATCATCAAGGATAACAACCACCCGAGCCACGCCCTGTTCACCCCACTATCATCCAGAAGGTGAGGTCAGTACAGGTGCATCAAAGCTGGGACCGAGAGACTGAAGAACAGCTTCTATCTCAAGGCCATCAGACTGTTATAGCCATCACTAGCCGGCTACCACCCGGTTACTCAACCCTGCACCTTAGAGGCTGCTGCCCTATGTACATAGACATGGAATCACTGTTCACTTTAAATGGAACACTAGTCACTTTAATAGTATTTACATACTGTTTTACTCATTTCATATGTATATACTGTACTTAACTGTATTTTATTCAATGACAAATCAGACATTGCTCGTCCTAATATTTATACATTTCTTAATTCCATTCTTTTACTTTTAGATTTGTGTGAATTGTTAGATACCACTGCACTGTTGGAGTAGGAACACAAGCATTTTGCTACACCCGCAATAACATCTGCTAAATATGTGTATGTGACCAATAAAATGTGATTTGATTTTGAGCGGATGGTCATGGGCCGAAAAACACAATTACGATAAATATGTAGACTGGAAATTGACCACAAGAAGCCCAAGCAGATATAATATTTGACTAAAACCCAATCATTTCAAACCTTGCTTACATTTATATACGATCACATACACTGAGTATACAAAACACCTGCTCTTTCCATGACATAGACATAGACATGTTGGGTCCATGGCCAGGAAACTCCCCAGACCTTAATCCCATTGAGAACTTGTGGTCGATCCTCAAGAGGCGGGTGGACAAACAAAATCCCACAAATTCGGACAAACTCCAAGCATTGATTATGCAAGAATGTGCTGCCATCAGTCAGGATGTGGCCCAGAAGTTAATTGACAGCATGCCAGGGCGGTTTGCAGAGGTCTTGAAAAAGAAGGGTCAACACTGCAAATATTGACTGTTTTCATAAATTTAATGTAATTGTCAATAAAAGCCTTTCACACTTATGGAATGCTTGTAATTATACTTCAGTATACCATAGTAACATCTGACAAAAATATCTCATTACACTGAAGCAGCAAACTTTGTGAAGACCAATACTTATGTCATTCTCAAAACCTTTGACCACGACCTATGTCATTCCACTCTGCGTACCTCTCTTCTACTACACTGACCCCAGTGGCCCTAGCCATCTCTGGCTCTCACAGGCTTTATCCAAAGAGAAATAAACAGTTTCTAAAAGGGACAGAATCAACACAACAGCAGGCTTCACTCAATATCTCCCTGTCACATTGAAGAAAAACATTTTAACCATGAGGCTGAGACACTATTTTATTTTCTCTCTTATATTCTGTCTCTTGTGTTCCTCTCAGCTATAAAATCCACAGTCCCAGCTTTACTACCCTCTTTGGGGGATGCTTTGTGGCTGCTTTGAAATAAAATATAATTGTAAAATAATACATACAATTGTTTTGATTTCTGCTTATTAACTATGCCATAAAGTGCTGAGTAGCCTATCAGGCTAATGGCATCACACCTGAGTTTGTCTGCAGTGAAGATGACCCTACGTTCCAGCAGGAGAGAACCAAAGACCCTGAGTAGCAGACGCAGACTCAGACAGGAGAAGAGACACTCAAAGTCCACATGCTCCAGGCGAGAGTCAGATGGACGACACAGCTCCATTACCTGAGACAGGAGGAGGGGGTAGAAAGAAGGGGGGAGAGATAAACAGACAGGGGGTTACAGAGAGAGAAAGAGAGAGTGAGAAGAAGAGAGAGAGAGAGACAAAGAGAGTGGAGAGTGAGATGTCTTTTACTAATACAAAACGGACGCAGCATAGAACACTTCAACTCAAACACTTTGCATGGCATCTGTATGTAATATTATTGGAAGTCTTCTTTGGAGATTAACGTAAAATCGAGGACTTACCTCAGTACCAGATCCGGGAAGGAAGGTTTTAATGGTGATGGGTCTGCCAGGAGCAGGAAACGGAGCCTCCATAATGGCCCTCATGAAGGGTTGGACCAGGGCTGGAGACAGGGCCCTCCTCCTCTCCACCTCATCCAGGACCTGGCAGACACATACACAGGGCAGGACAGAGAGGTCAGCAGGTAGCCTAAAGGTTAGAGAGATGGGCCAGCAACAGAAGAGTTGCCAGCTCGAATCCTGGGTTTGACGGGATACAGGATGAGGTGGCAACCAGGAGGCTGATGTACAGTATACTATACCTTGGAGAAGAGGTGGAAGCATCCCAGGTGGCTGACGATGCAGTAGACTTCAGGGAGACGCTTTCCTTTCCCACTGGGCTGGGAGAAGAGAGGAGGATATTTTTAATGCTTTGTCATAGCCCCTCTAGGAAAAACTAAGCCGTGTCCCTGCTGAAAACCCCCCAGCATAGACCAGCACAGGCTGCACTCTTAGAAAAAAGGTTCCGAAAGGGTTCTTTGGGGAGGGATAGCGTTCTACCAAGAACTGTTTTGATCTGAGGAACCCCTTTTGGAAGAGAAGGATTCTTTGTAAGGCAAAGGGTTCTACCTAGAACCGTTTTTGGAAGAAAGGGTTCTTTTGATGATGCTTTGGAAGGCAATATGGATTCTTTGGAAAGCAAGAAGGGTTCTACATAGAACCATATCATATTTTGTAGCATGCTCTCTATTTCATGACCGAAAAGAGCTTCTGGACGTCAGAACAGCAATCACTAACCTCCATTTGGAGGAGGACTTCTACTTCAGTGAGTCGGAGGCGAAAGACATTGATTATCGCAGACCAGGCCCAAATCCCCGACACTCGAAGAAGAAGGAGACGGCGCCATAGAGGCCGGCATGCGGAATACCTGATAAGACTACGTGGATAAGTCACCTGTACCCTCCGTTCTATTGGCGAACGTGCAATCACTAGAGAATAAACTGAATAGGCTCTGTTCGAGACTATCTTATCAACGTGATCTAAAGAACTGTAATATCCTGTGTTTCTCCAAGTCGTAGCTGAAAAGGGACATGGTAAATATAAATCTAGCTGGTATTTCTATTCATCGGCAGGACAGAACGGCTGCGTCGGGGAAGCTCAAGAGGAGGGGGTGTGTGTCTCTTTGTTAACAGCAACTGGTGCGCAATCTCTAATATTAAGGAAGTCTCGAGATTCTGCTCGCCTGAATTAGAATATCTCATGATAAGTTGTAGACCACACTATTTACCAAAGAGTTTTCATCTATATTTTTCGTAGCTCTCTATTTACCACCACAAACCGATGCTGGCACTAAGCCCGCACTCAATGAGCTGTATAGGGCCATAAGAAAACAAGAAAATGCTCACTCAGAGGCGGTGCTCCTAGTGGCCAGTGACTTTAATGCAGGAAAACTAAAATCCGTTTGACCTCATTTCTATCAGCATGTCACCTGTGCAACTAGAGGCGGAAAAACTCAATCACCTTTACACCACACACAGACACATACAAAGCTCTCCCTCACCCTACATTTGGCAAATCTGACCATAACTCTACTCTCCTGATTCCTGCTTACAAGCAAAAACTCAAAAAGGAAGTACTCAATATGGAAGTGGTCCGATGAAGCGGATGCTAAGCTACAGGACTGTTTCGCTAGCACAGACTGGAATATGTTCCGGGATTCATCCGATGGCATTGAGGAGTTTATTAATAAGTGCATCGACGTTGTCTCCACAATGATTGTACGTACATATCCCAACCAGAAATCATGGATTCCAGCCAACATCCGCAATGAGCTACAGGCTAGAGCTACCGCTTTCAATGAGCGGGGCACTAATCCGGATGCTTATAAGAAATCCTGCTACGCCCTCCAACGAACCAACAAACAGGAAAAGTGTCAATACAGGACCAAGATCGAATACTACTATACCGGCTCTGACGCTTGTCGGATATGGCAGGGCTTGCAAACTGTCACAGATTACAAAGGGAAACCCAGACGCGAGCTGTCCAGTGACACTAGCCTACCAGAGGAGCTAAATACCTTCTAAGCGCGCTTCGAGGCTAGCAACACTAAACTATCCATGAGAGCACCAGCTGTTCTAGACAACTGTGTGATCACGCTCTCCGTATCCGACGAGAGTAAGACCTTTAAACAAATTAACATTCACAATGCCACAGAGCCAGACGGATTACCAGTACACATACTCAGAACATACGCTGAGCAGCTGGCAAGTGTCTTTACTGACATTTTCAACCTTTCCCTGACCCAGTCTGTAATACCTACATGTTTCAAGGAGACCACCATAGTCCCTGTGCCCAAGAAAGGCAAGGTAGCCTATCGCCCTATAGCCCTCACATCTGTAGCCATGAAATGCTTTGAAAGGCTGGCTCACATCAACACCATCATCCCAGACACCCTGGACCCACTCCAATTCACATACCATCTCTATTGCACTCCACACTGCCCTTTCCCTTCTGGACAAAAGGAACACCTATGTGAGAATGCTGTTCATTGACTTCAGCTCAGCATTCAACATCATTGTGCCCTCCAAGCTCATCACTAAGCAGCGTGATGCCAGGACAACAACCTCTCCCTCAACGTCAGCAAGGCAAAGGAGCTGATTGTGGACTACAGGAAACCGAGGGCCGAGCACTTCCATTCACATCGACAGGGCTGTTGTGGAACAGGTCAAGAGCTTAAAATTCCTCGGTGTCCACATCTCTAATGAACTATCATCGTCCACACACATCAAGACAGTTGTGAAGAGGGCACGACAATGCCTCTTTCCTCCACTTCCCCCTCAGGAGGCTGAAAAGATTTGGCATTGGCCCTGAGGTCCTAAATGTTCTACAGCTGCATCATTGAGAGCATCTTGACTGGCTGCATCACCACTTGGTATGGCAACTGTTTGGTATCTGACCACAAGGTGATACAGAGGGTAGTGCGTACGGCCCAGTACATCACTGGGACCCAGCTACCTGCCATCCAGGACCTCTATACGAGGCGGTGTCAGAGGAAGGCCCTAAAAAAAAGACTCCAGCCACCCAAGTCATAGATTGTTCTCTATGCTACCGTACGGCAAGCGGTACCGATGCACCAAGTCTGTAACCAACAGGATCTGAACAGCTTCTACCCCCAAGCTATAAGACTGCTAAATAGTTAGTTAAATAGTTAACCAATAGCTACCCGGAATATCTGCATTTACCTTTTTTGCATTAATCTCTTTTGACTCATCACATAAGCTGCTGTTAATGTTTTTTAGCTATCCTGTTGCCTAGTCACTTTATCCCTACCTATATGTACACTACCGTTCAAAAGTTTGAGGTCACTTAGAAATGTCCTTGTTTTAGAAAGAAAAGCAAAAAAATGTGTCCATTAAAATTACATAAAATTGATCAGAAATACAGTGTAGACATTGTTAATGTTGTAAATGGCTATTGTAGCTGGAAACTGCTGATTTTTTATGGAATATCTACATAGGCGTACAGAGGCCCATTAATATATTATCAGCAACCATCAGTCCTGTGTTCCAATGGCACGTTGTGTTTGCTAATCCAAGTTTATCATTTTAAAAGGCTAATTGATCATTAGAAAACCCTTTTGCAATTATGTTAGCACAGCTGAAAACTGTTGTGCTGATTAAAGAAGCAATAAAACTGCCCTTCTTGAGACTAGTTGAGTATCTGGAGCATCAGCAATTGTGGGATCGATTACAGGCTCAAAATGGCCAGAAACAAATAACTTTCTTCTGAAACTCATCAGCCTATTCTTGTTCTGACAAATTAAGGCTATTCCATGCGAGAAATTGCCAAGAAACTGAAGATGTCGTACAACGCTGTGTACTACTCCCTTCACAGAACAGCGCAAACTGGCTCTAACCAGAATAGAAAGAGGAGTGGGAGGCCCCGGTGCACAACTGAGCAAGAGGACAAATACATTAGTGTCTAGTTTGAGAAACAGGCGCCTCACAGGCGCACAACTGGCAGCTTCATTAAATAGTACCCGCAAAACACCAGTCTCAACGTCAACAGTGAAGAGGCGACTCCGAGATGCTGACCTTCTAGACAGAGTTGCAAAGAAAAAAACATATCTCAGACTGCCCATCTTAATATTTTATTTTTACAGCCCCGTCGATGTGAATGGGGGTGTGCTCTTCCCTCCGTTTCCTGTACTCTACAATCAGTTCCTTTTGTCTTTCTGACGTTGAGGGAAATGTTGTTGTCCTGGCACCACACTGCCAGGTCACTGACCTCCTCCCTGTATGGCTGTCTCATCGTCGCCGGTGATCAGGCCTACTACCGTCATGTCTTCAGCAAACTTGATGATGGTGTTGGAGTTGTGCGTGGCCACACAGTCGTGGGTGAACAGGGAGTATAGGAGGGGACTAAGCACACACCCCTGTGGGGCCCCCATGTTGAGGGTCACTGGGGCGGAGGTGTTGTTTTCTATCTTCACCACCTTCCCGTCAGGAAGTCCAGGATCCAGTTGCAGAGAGAGGTGTACAGTCCCAGGGTCCCAAGCTTGGCGACGAGCTTGCAGTGGACTATGGTGTTGAATGCTGAGCTGTAGTCAATGAACAGTGTTCTCACATTCCTTTTATCTAGTTGGGTGAAGGCAGTGTGGAGTGCCATTGAGATTACATCGTCTATGGATCTGTTTGGGTGGTATGCAAATTGAAGTGGGTCTAGTGCACCTGTGTCAAGCTCATTCCATCGAGGGCCTAGTGTCTGCTGGGCTTTGGTTTTTCCTTTCAATTACGACCTAGACAATCAGGTGAGGGGAGTTCCTTACTATTTACATTTTACTTTTTTTTTTTTTTACATTTTACGTCATTTAGCAGACGCTCTTCAGGTGGCTGACGATGCAGTAGACTTCAGGGAGACGCTTTCCTTTCCCACTGGGCTGGGAAAAGAGAGGAGGATATTTTAATGCTTTGTCATAGCCCCTCTAGGAAAAACTAAACCGTGTCCCTGCTGAAAACCCCCCAGCATAGACCAGCACAGGCTGCACTCTTAGAAAAAAGGTTCCGAAAGGGTTCTTTGGGGAGGGATAGCGTTCTACCAAGAACTGTTTTGATCTGAGGAACCCCTTTTGGAAGAGAAGGATTCTTTGTAAGGCAAAGGGTTCTACCTAGAACCGTTTTTGGAAGAAAGGGTTCTTTTGATGATGCTTTGGAAGGCAATATGGATTCTTTGGAAAGCAAGAAGGGTTCTACATAGAACCATATCATATTTTGTAGCATGCTCTCTATTTCATGACCGAAAAGAGCTTCTGGACGTCAGAACAGCAATCACTAACCTCCATTTGG